TCTTCTTATCCTTGTCGTCGACCTGACTTAAAAGCGCCTCAAGGCGTCTTTTCGAAGCATGCGTGCATAAGATGTATTGTCGATCAAGCTTAATTAGTTGTAAGATCGGTTTCTTACTTATTCCATCCTTCAATCTCTTGAAGCTTGGTTGCATCTGTTCATCAAGCTTCACTATAGTAGGGCTTGCTTTCTTATTTAACTTCTCCGATGGCCTAGCCAATTGGGCAAAATTTGAAATAAATCGTCGGTAGTATCCCATTATCCCGAGGAACGCTCCAACCTCTATCTTAGTTTGTGGAGACGATATCTTCCGAATAGCCACAATATGTGTTTCCATCCGGGCCATCTTTCCTCCTTTGATTTCATAGCTGAGGTAGCTAACTCCTTTTCTCGCCAGTGGGCACTTATCCTTTTTACGCTTGAAACATGTAGCTCAAAATATTGGTAAACTTCTGACAGGTGCGGCACATGTTGGTCATTAGTTTCGCTGTAGATAAGAACATTATCAATATATGTCCAGGCAAAACTTTCTTATTAAGTCAGGACTTCATTCAGAAGTCGTAAGAATGTGGCACGAACACTATGTTATCCATACGGCTTTACGTTAAATTCGTATAGCCTGAACGGAGCCGTGAAGGCATTTATCGCCTTCGAGTTCTCTTTCAACGGGATCTGCGAAAACCCTTCGCCAGATCCAAGGTCGTGATATACTTAGCTATTCCTAAGAGCTCTAAAATTTCGTCTATCTCGGTGGATAGGTATCTAATATCGATTCAGCGCTTATCGTCCTAAAGTCGATGCATAATCGGTAGGACAGACAAGGGTTCTCCACTAAGACTATTGGCGAGCACCGAAGGCTTCTAGAGAGCCAGGTATCCTGGCGTATTGCAATTCCTCTAATTCCCTTTACAGATATTGCCTCTTCGCCATCGATGTGGGGTACGGCCACTGACGTATCTGGCGGTTTTTTCGGAGGCGTATGTCATAGTATATTTACTCGATGTGACCCAACTGTAAGTTGACTCTTAGGGAAAACTCTGAATAACTTCTGACAAAAGTGTCCGTTGTATTCTATTAGGTGGTATCGGAGCGGTTCCTAGGGCGGTAAGTCTTTCGACTTCCTCTCTCT